TCTTTTCATTCACTGTGACATACTTGGTTTTTTTCCAATATTTTTTCATTTCTTATAATTCTTTTATTAATCAAAATGTCATAAGATCGTGATATGTGAATACACAACTGTAATGAATGCCTACATTGGTATGAGCAAATTTTAGTGTTTGAATTATATCGGTGTCATATACAAACATAAATTGTACAAACTGCGCGCCGAAATATTTTCAGTTTTGAAACATAATCTTAAATAGAATTATAGAGTAGTAATATCACACATTAAATTGACAGACAATTTATTAATATCTCTGTTAATAAGGTATCTTAGAAGGATATTAATAATTTGATACTAATAAATTTAAAAACTATAAATAATTTATTTACTATTACTTTACATCACTCTAGTTCTGTTTAAAATTGCATTTTAAGACTGAAAATACTCGCATTTCGGCGCATAGTTTGTACTGTTTATAAAATTGGATATGTGATATAAAATTCGCATATATGGTATTCAAGTATTAATTGTGAGAATAATTTATACCGTCTAGGTTTTCATTTAGTTTGTTTTATTAATAAAGATATGTACATTTACTCGATGTCTTTTAATGTCTGACGTTTTGATTGAAAAGAATTGTTTATAATACATTTATGAAAATTATAAGTAACTGAATTAGCTTTGGGGATAATTAAATGTATTATTCCTATAGTATGGCATTCAAGGATTAAATATAATAACTATTACTATAGACATATAAATTATAAAAGTTGATATGCAGAAAGGGAATTAATACAATTATTTTACATACGATAATTTCATAATTTTATTACGATTTTGTTCTATTCGAAATAAAAAAAATTGACGCAAACACGTGATTTTGATCTTTGTTGCTATTGAGTTTTCCGTCTTTTTTTCTCTCTGACTTTCTCTTTGACTTCCGCCATTGTTCTTCGCGGTCTACGCGGCGTCGCGGCACCTTTCATCGACACCCTTTTGTTCGCTCGCCAATAACGCTACGATAACGAGTCAATCGTATCATGGAGAATCGAAAGGTGTCAGCTCGGGAATTGCATTGTCGGGAATCGAGGAATCGATCGATAGCCATAGGTAAACTGCTTTCCTCCATTTTCTCCTCTTATGATGCACGAATTGTAAACAATTTACCTAATTTCATGTGATTAATTGCAGATGTTAAGAACTCAACGTTCACGGAATACTAAACAGAAAGTTTATGTATTATACAATGATGTACGGTTAGCAAGTTCGGTGCGAGATGGTGTCTATTATAATTCTCTCTCACTACTCAGAATATTTTCAAAAATCTATCTTAAAAGTTGAGTAAACATCTCTTGTTATTTTGTGTGATTTCTATCGCATTACCTTTATGTTACCTCTTTCTGCGGGATTAAAAAAAGATTTAATTTCGGATATTAAATCTCCGGAGATTTCGGGAGGGAGAAAGGGGGAACTAATTTAGAATTAATACTGCAAACAGGAATTCCATTTGAATACTCTATACACAGCATGCAACGTTCGCAAAGGAAAATATTTATTTAAATAAATACGTACATATGAAAATGTATAGGTACCATACAAACATGAGCACGCGTCCGTTTTCTGCGTTTATCATCTCGTGGAAGAATATTCGCAGCTCGCCGCAAATACGCTTTCTGTTGTCAACTGGCGAAATAGCACGAATAGTGTGAATAACGGTGATAATTTTGGTGGGAGAAATTAGTGAATGGGAAAGAGAGAGAAAACAGGGAACGATAGATAGAGGTCGCAAATGGGCTACCATAAAGGCGTGCTAATGGTTTAACGTTTGTTCGCAAAAATACTACATGCTTTATCGGCATGCATTTCCTTTTCTCTTTACTCGACCTTCCCTTTTCAATACGATGCGCGTGGATCACACTTTATAAATAATTTCTATAATAAACGCAATTTGCGGACATGCACCACTGGTAATTGTTACGAAGGCATATCGCATTAATAACTTTAATAATGATAATAACGATAGCAGCCTCCGAGCACAGAACTCGTATAATTGTAGAGCTGTTAATAAATTAATTTCTAAAAATAGTAATGTAACTAAATAATAGTAATAAACAACATAATTTTGAAATATGTTACTTAAAAGAGATACTAGCACGTTAATATCAACTGATGAGAGAAAAGTAACGTTAAAAATTGGAATAAATCATTGGAGTAAAATAATAAAATATAAATGCTACATTCATTCCGTAAAAAAAGCTGTATTTATATTGTAATATACTCTTGAAATTAAATAAAAAACCGTAGATGAAAATTTACAGATTATTTTATCTGGAAAAAGCAAAACAGTGTTGTTTAAAAAACATCATTAAAATAAAATGACATAGCTATTTTGTCCCTGAATGTTATTTCCCATATTTATTAATTGATCACTAATAGTCCAGACTCTCATTAGTTCTATTATATCATCGTGAAATTCAGTTATATTTAAATTAATTCTTCTTGCATTTTCATATTTTGTTTTTATATTACTTACGATTTATTCGTGACTTTTTATTATCTTGTACGCACGTTTGAACACATTCGAACAATTGTCGCTTGCATGTAATATTTGCTAAATTTGTCAAACAGTAAACGATTTGATAAAAATGGAACAGGAGCAAATGTCGGTACGTGATCGACGAAAAGTCGTCAGTCGACAACGAACGAATAACTGAATAAATAAAAAAGAAGGAGTAGAATGTCAAACTATAGGCATTTTAAATAACAAAGGGTCGGTGCCCGACATCCTAATTGCGGCGCCATTTTTTTTTTCGATACATGCGGCCGTTTAGGACGATGTCCTTTTTATTCTGCAGCACGCGTGTTTCGGACGTGCCTCTGCTTTTCGATTTTCATGCGTGATCGATTTTCGACCATTCCGCCAACTATTTTTCCGATGTGACGCGCTGTGATGCGTTGTGAAAACGTTCGACGACAAACGCCGTTCACGCATCGCAATTCACAATCACGACTCCAGTGAAACGATAAAAGTTTATAATTATTCTTAAACGTAATTTTCGATCATTTTACTTTTAATTGCATTATATAGAGAAGTGAATCGATGAACAAAAGTATATGTACGAGGTGGGTTTTCTATACAATTCCTGCGCAAAATAGATAAAAGAATATCATTTGTGTATGAATGCGTGTCAGCACAAGTATTTAGCAGGCATACTAGATATATAGACTATCACATAAAACATAAAAATCAGCGATGAAGAAATATTTGTTAATAATAGTTGATTTGTTCCTATACGCAGACGAGACACTGTAAATACAAGCAGACGTAAAACGCGTTATTAGAATACTTCCGTATTCATTTAGACAAAAAAGTTTACTTTTGTAATTAAGCATTTTTATCATTGACTAATTAATTTTCAGTATTAACATCGATAAATATAAAATAAAGGCGGCAATATAGTGTTTGTTATCTCTAAAGTGTGTTCTTATCTTTTATTTGTTTTTCCTGGGAAGCTTTTTTTGCCGCTTAACATTGCATTATCAAACGGAAGGATTAGCCTGCAATATATTTGGGCGTTTAAAGGCAACGATATAGGTATAGATAAAATTGGTAATACTGCGGATAAAAGAACAAACTATAACAAAATGCGGCGAAAAAAAGTCGTAAATACATATAATGCGACGCGTTTTAAATTATGTACATTTTATATTTTCTCTCTTTCTCTCTCTCCCTTTCTTCTTTTTTTCCGTTCAAATTACCATCTGATGCTTGAATCTAGTAAATTAGTCGCAAAGTTCATCAACACCGATATTTTTGGATTCGAAGGATACACGTATTTAAAAAAGTAACGTATCTATGTATCGTCATACTAACGATACGATGGGAGTAATTAGAAATCTCGCATTAGAACGCAACCATTTTATCAAATGTTTCGTAGCGGGAAGTTTCGTCGTTTCGTCCTTTTTACCACGAGAAATCGCACGTTTAAACTGCAGCTAATGGAGCATTTATTGACCGAAACGCTCCTCGTAGGACGAATTCGATTAAAGTTCGACGCGATTCGATTACCAGGAGATTCGTTTTGCCAGCTCTCTGCTAGCATCGTGTCTGAAAATCTTTGGAACCTCCGTCGGAAAACCTCGAAAAGTCACGTGGATATATTCATGCGATCGTAGAAATGTAATTTATGACGCCTGTGGCGTGTATAAAATCGATTATTGTAAAAACGTTGAAGATTGTACCAGTCTTTTTATAAAACAGTACATTTTCTATAATATACTAGGATCGGGAAATTACAGAAGTATTATCAAAAGACTGATATATATTTTTAATTTTTACTGCAGAAATTTCAATTATTTTTCTACAAGAAATGGCGTTTTGCAAACAGAATCGAAAGAATCGTTATATACACGCATAAGAGGATTTTGGAAATTAGAAAAATTGTTATACAAAGCACAAATTTATTTCTTCCTTTAAATTCTCATTTTATTTCAATGAAAGTGAAGAAAATTTGTATTATATAATATTTTCTTATTCATTTTTATATGTCGCACAATTTAACAGATACACTTAATGAGATATGTTGAATTACGAAATTGAAATTTATATCATGCAAGTTAATGGTAAACGTTATTTAGTTCTCTTTTGGAGAACCCTGTAGTTCAAATTACACGCTCTGGTAATCGTCAATCGATTCGCCATTCGTGCCCAATCACCGCAATATATAGATCGCGAAATAACGTTCGAATATTTTGGTCAACGCGAATTTGTAAATGTTTTTCACGCTTGCATTTCATCTTTTATATTGCGTGATCATTAGTAAACAATATTATATCAATTTAATTGTCACTTGCGCGCGCTCTGATACAAAATCACAAAGTTAAATATTCCATCCTGTGGTGTTTATTGCTTTAAATAAATAATTAGTATTATATTCTGAATGAAAAAGAAACTATGTAATATTAAATAATATATATTTATCGACCATTTGTCTAATATAAATCGCTTTTATTGTGTGTTTCAGGGACTACTACTATGACAGGTGAATGTCTTGAACTTTACTCCAATAAGCAGGTATCATAATATTAATTTACGTTAATGTGATGCCATGACTTAAAAAGATAAACTGCAATTTAAAGCAGAAGTTTAATAAATAGTATAAGCATAAAATCCTTGTCTTTTAGCCCTGGTTTTCAATTTTCTGGTTAACTTGTGATTAAACTTGATAATAATGTAAAAAGTGTATTTTTCCAGCTATGGTTAATCACTCTAATCTAATGCTTTTGTAGTAAGTAATTTTTAAAGTTACTACTATAAAATCATCTAGTTAAGTGAGGTTAAATTTAAATTATATTAATAATAAGTTAATTTAAAAAAAAATGAGAATAAATCTAATTAAAAGAAATTCCTATGTTCCTCTCAAAACGAACTGTAGTGCTTAAATATTTTTCTAAATTTATAATATATCCATATTTGATTGATTCTGTAAACTGTGCTCGAAATCTTAGTCAATCTTGAAACGCCTTTATAGGCAGACGTAGTTATATCATTTATTAAATTGACAAGCAATATACATAATAATTAAAAAAGGAGAATTGATAATTTAACAATTTAAAAATGAGAAATCAAGCCTTAGAGTTTTCAAAACTCATGCATTTTTTCGTATTCCGATACGCAATCTTTTTTCCACCTTCTTTTCAATTTTAATAAAAAGCTTGAGATTTTTCTCATTAGTAGTCATATAGGCGAAACACGTTTACGCTCCTTTGTCTCTGATCTTCTCAACACGTGCTCGGCTAATTCATGCGAGTCGACAATAAGCAGCGTCCGGACGTACGCGTTTCGCGCGAGTTGCATGTCCAAAGCCCGCTACCGTGCGAATGTAAACGCATTCGGACAAAATGAGGGAAGAGAAACAAACGCGGCGCTATGGACCTCGGACAGTAGCACAGTGGTGGCCGTTGCTAAAAAAAAAAAGAAAAAAAAGAAGAGTTTGCCGCGCTCGGCGCGGAATGTGTCCCGTGGTGCATTCATATTTTGCCCTTTTTAATCGCGCGCGCTTCAGACGCGGAACGGGGTGAGCTTTTATTGCAGCTTCCACCGACATGATGCGACACGGCCAGCGCGCTCCGCTCCGCTCCGCTCGGCTCGGCTCGGCGCGAAGCGACGCGTCGAGTCGAGTCGTGTGTTCTCCATGCCGCATGCCGGTCACGGAGATGCCTCTGAATAGTCACAATTAAAACGAAAGCGAAGACGCAACGCGATGCCGCATGTTGACGTTAGCGAAGTTGCGTTTCTCTCTTTCTCTTTAAGTTCTATTTGTTTTTTTTAACCCTCAACGGGGAGAGACCAAGCGAGATGGACGCAATGGTCGTTGATGCACGTGCATCATTTCGCATCGAGAGATGACGCATTTTGCCGAGTCGTTCTTTTATTATTGCTCATTTAGTTGCACTATGTCGAGGAAGAAAAAGAAAAAGAAAGCCGAGCCAGTTTATTGTAATTTTCAAGAGAAATATTCAGAATATGAAGCACAGGACTGTAATAATAGAAGCGGATTGGCGCGCGGATGAGAAGAGAATTCATAATTTGAAATCTCGAATCTATCACGAGGATTCGCGAGTGACGCACCGCACGCATGGGACAATTCGATTAACACGTGGCTACAGAGCAGCTATAATGCCCATACCTAGTGGATATTGGGTTAATTAGAGAAGCCTGTCCCTGGAGATTCATCATCACAGACAACATCACACACAATGAATTATTAGAATCAAGATTCGCGCGACTAGCTGTTGTCTGATCTGTGACTTTTTTTTTATGATCGAATTGTTATCAGTTTTCAACTCAACGAATTTTCACATCGCGAGCTTGCAGCATTTCATGGATATCAAAAATATTATAATTATTAAATACATTCCTTTGAATGTACAATTTTTTTTTTACTTTTTATAAAATTAATATTTTCTAACATTTTTTTAATTTGTAACATTTTATGTGTCATATTTTGCACAGTTGCTTATAACTTTTACAAAATAAATGCAATATAGCGAAAAGTATGCAATATAGCAAAAGATATATATTTTTTATTTTTATAATGTTATGAAAAAGAGATTTTAACTTCAACAATATTTTATTTTTAACTAACATAATATATACATTAAATTTGTTATGAAATTTATGCCAAGCTAAATATAATCACGTACATTATTATATTTTTAATAAGTTTCATTGTTTCTATATAATATAACCAATATCTTGGTAATTTTATATATTAAATTATATCTTTCATTATATCTTATTAAAATATATTATACATTTTTATCAATTATTTAAAAATTATCCACGATATCATGTACGAAAAATATATGTATGAAACGAGAAGCAATTATTAACATCTTATAACGTGTGTCTTCTGTTCTTGCATAATATATCGTTCATTACAAGTAATTATTATTACCAAAGGCGTGCCACCGTAGATTGGCTCGTAATTTGAACAAATGCAAAGTGTCATTCGATCGAATGTGCACAAAAAGCTGCCGCTGGGCTAAATTAATAATTACTATTTATGGTTATATGAGCGTAATGAATAATTATGGATTATCGACTGAGAATAACAATTTGCGACTCATTGCGCACAAATGAGGTTAATTTCATTGCGGTGGAATGTATCTGCATTTATTTATTCTCCTATATTTCTGCAGTAAGCAAGAACGCATCTTTTATTAAAACAAGGTATTTATTACGTACAACTTCTAACTTTAAGATTATCTATTAATTATATTGAAATATGTTCTATTTTAAATACATTTTTAATTTTAATCTTTTATTATCTTATTATTTTCTATCTTATCAGAATATTATCTAAATATATTTTCGGCAATTTTCCTAAGAAACATGGCTTATCTTATATGTACGTTCGTTTTATCGTACAACCGCCGTAAATTGTCAATTTTATTTTTGACTTTACCAGTGGCGTTCCGTTATTGCAACATAAAATTTGCAGGAGCATAGTATGAAGTTTGTATGGTACGAAAGGCGGTCAATAAGGAAGAAGGGGAAGATGTCAGTCCTAAATCCGGAGACAGCAATGGAGAACGAGAAGTACCGAAGCTTATGTCTCCCCGATTATTGGTAGTGCAGTGTCTTGATTAATGCTACATATAATTTAAACATCAGATAGAGTTATATTGATTTTCTAATTACAAGATTACAACTGAAAGTTTTAATAATTAATACAATGAGCTCTCTTTATATCAATATGTTCGCTTACAATATATAATTTCGTTCCGCATAATAATATAATATACATTTATACACTAATAATGCACATGAGAAACGTTTTTCAATAATTAGCAGCTTTAATGTACTGAAGGTAAGGACAAATTTGTGATACAATATTACAATATGCAAATTATAATGCCGTATCAAGTAGCACCATTAATGATAACGATACTGGAGCAGCTACTACCGAGATGTATTGTATAATATCGCCACTATTAATAAGTAATAGCCGGCATTATTAATCATACGTAATTATGATAAAATAGAGGGTACCATGTAATTGTCTTTATTAACAAACAACAATAGACAATACGTTGTGACAATATTAGTGTATACGTTAATCATATATACGTCGATATAATACACGTATCTAATACATGACTAAAACAATTAGAGTCAGTTATTATGAAATTACTTAAGTATTTGATAATAATTTATATATATGCCTAAAACATAAATGTAGGAATATTCTAAATGAGTATGGAATGCAATTACCTTTTTTCTGCAGCTGTTCATTTTTGTCTAATAAAAAATTACATCTTTTTATATTGTATATATATATATATATATATGATAGATGAGATATGGAAGGATTACGAGAAGTGAAAACGATTTAAGTCGTATTTCGCAAGGTATGATCTATCCGTGGAAAAAGAGGGCGGGTTAAGGTGTTGCGATTCTCGTTTGTCGTCCTCCCAAATTAGAGGATAGCCATGTAACGCGACGCCAAGTAGTCTGAAACTGGCTGTTAAACCAATGCAAATTAGCGGAAGACTCGCGTACCTCGGAGTTTGTCCCTTCTAATTACGCGCGGGAACCAGCGAGAAAGGCTTAACTGGGTTTGCCGGGAATTAGTTGTCACCCGGTAGATGCGAACTACGCGAAGAACAAGAACGCCGTTATACCTGCGCGGTTTTGCACCGAGCAATAATTGCACATACAACTGTAACTCATGATCGATTTTGGCGATAAGATGCAGACACGGTTATTTATGCTTTACAATGGTCCTGTTAAACTGATTACCGAGAAGCGCATACGCGTAATTTATTGTTTCATCGCTAAATTTCCAACGATTCCTTTTTATGATGTGTCACGTTCTGTATATACATACTGTATGTATTGTTCGTAACTTTGATAATGAAAATATACATAGTTGAGAAAAATTTATGTTAAATTTAACACATTTTACGTGCCCTAAATGGTCTACTCGTGTTAATTTAAGGTAAGATGAATGTGTTGAGAAGTAACATAAATATTATGTGAAAAAATTAGCACAAAAATGTAACATTGGCACAATTTGTGAGTAATTGTGGAAACATATTTCTTCAGTAAGGTTATCAATATTTACAACACGTTAATTACAATATTTTATTGATTCATCTTAGAATTTATATTTTAACATACATTATTTTTAAACAATTTGTCCATATAGTCCATTATAAATTGTATTATTTTAATTCTAAGAAATGTTGAATATCATAATATAAAATATTCAAATAACACAATCACATTAATTATGTTAATTTAATATTCGGATATTTTAACAAAAATTTTAATAAAAACAGGTTTTAACATAAATAAAAAATAGTTTTTATTGTATACATTTATAATATATGCATATTGCATATACATGTACAGATATACTAGAATAGGTCGACTAGTTTCGTGTATAGATTTTTGTAACTTTAATGAAAACTATTATAAATGATCATTCTAAGTATACCTTTATATATATATGTATAAATTTATATATATATA